TTCCGAGCTTATTTAGTATTTTGTACTCTCTTTAGAATTTTCTTTTCGCCACATTTTCCTTCGATTTTCAGTAACCTTGTGCAGAACGGCCGATAAATTACGTATATATATGATCGGATTTCTTCCTAAAGGATCCATGCAATAACTTAAAAAAATATAACTCTATTAAAAACTTGAACAATTATTAGAAAATACCTTAAACTGGACGCATTTAAATGGCTTTTCCCCGGCTTATTATTTGCACAAATAATACAATCCCAAAAAAGAAATAACCGATACTTTAACTTGATTTAATATTTCTTCTTTGGGGTTCGTATCGTCGGAGTATGCCTAGATGACAGAGTTACAGGATAATACTTTATAAAGTAATTTCACAGAACACTACGTATTTGATACATAGTAGAAATTATAAATCTGTAAAGTAATTGTTTGGATTGATGTCAAAGTAATTTTGACGGACTATTATTAACTTTATTATTCTTGTCAGTAAAAATATACATCTATATAATGAATCTTCCATTTCCTAAATAACTTCTCAAAATTGTATAAAAAGGTTATTGCTTTCTTAAATAAAATCAATAGTACGGTATATTATCCCTTACATTGTAAGGTATTTGCAGGCAAATTTGCCTGGGCACAGATATCTAATCATATTAGTCAAAAATATCACGTTTTTGACCCTAAAAATGTTTGCGCAGTTGTATCGGTAATATGAAAGTTTGATGGGGTATAAAATAGTCACGTGGCTTTTGAAAGCCCCAAAAAAGTAAGCGAAGAATTCAAAGGAAACAAGGTCTATGCAATGCCAAAAATAACATTGGCAGAAAGCCTTCAAATAGGTGATTCAGACACAAGTTTTATATCTGCCCAAAAAAAGTTATTATTCAAAAAGTTGCAGGCAAATATTCCTTTAAAACGGTGTAAGGGATAATATTCAATAACACATATATGTTGATAATATATGACCAACTTTTTTATTGGTGCGCATCGATGTGTATATGCGGTGATACAAATACTATACCACGTACCGGTACGATTAGCATCAATTTCGGCTGTGCATTGTCACACAAATGAAGTTTGTTTCATAACAATATAAAATAAACAAGAGTACGTACTAATTTTCGGTCATAACTTTATTAATCTACAAATTTTACTACGTATTATATTAATTAACCATGGTCATGTTACGGTTAAATATCGAGATACGTTATATGGTATTTATCATAATTTTGGCTGTATTTACATATGCAAGCCTTTGGTGTTCATATGTTCTTCGGCCAGTCCCTATTTACAGAGATGTGAAAAAATTTACTAAACATTCAAACTCCAGCCTCGGATTCGATCATGTTTACGTTATCAGTTCCTCTGATCAAACAAATAAACGTGATAGAATGAAAAAAATAGCAAATAAAATAGGCTTAGAGTTTGAATTCTTTCCCGCTATTTCTCCCGAAGATACCAATATTATCGACGAATTCAAATTTGACGATGAATTAGATCAATATCATAAAGCTTCTTATATCAATCATTATAAAATTTATCAATTAATCGATCTGAGTGGTTATGAAGATGCATTAATTTTAGATGATAATTTAGATTTTGAACTTAACATTACATCAATAATGTCAAATATTCACAAAATTTTACCCGCTGATTGGGAGATTCTGCACCTTACTTTTTGTAATAGTCAAGAGGGCGTACATAGTAAACCAATATGGGATGCAAAAAATGATTCACCTGATTATCAATTATTTAAATCTAAGAAGACATATTGTGCAAATGCATATGCTGTTTCATCTTCTGGCGTCTCAAAGCTATTAAAAACTCTTAATTAGAAACAAAAGAATTATTTAAACTTTTTTCTTTGTTTTTTTTTTATTCTTAGCGAATTTTATGGGGCTATTGCATTTTTTTTGT